CCCCAAAACCCCAAAACCCCAAAACCCCTTTTATCCAAATTATAATTGAGATTATTATTAAAATATGTCCAAAGTTAACAAAAAGTAAGACTGTTGCTACTACAACCTCATACCTTGTAGTTGAAATTTAAATTTGCTCTAGCGTTAAGAAAGACTACCTCAATGCAGATATTGATATGGTAAAAACCAAGAAGAATTTTCACAATTTAAAAACTGACCACATCAAAAGCACTTGAATGAATCAACCAAAAGTCGCTTCAAAAGTTGAGCGAAAACTGAAGAATACTAACAAGTTATTGATAAACAGCAATTTTGATTTCTTTGAACAAAAATAGTAGATCCAATATTGGAATCAACCTCAGATCAAATGGTACTCATCCTATCATTACTATCATAGGAAGGAGTAATCTGCGATATGCCTCTAAGCCTAGTTCCAAAGACCGAACTATCAGAATAGAGCTCCTTAAACCAATATTTAGCACTCAAAAATAGTAAGGTTTATCTATTCTGGTCAAATTATCGCTCAAAGATAAAAAGTCTAACAAATTATAGAAAGTTGAGCTATGCAGGTGCTCAACTCGAACAATGACTCTCTCGAATCTCTTCACTCCAGTCAAGTGCCGAAAGAGGGTCTGAATTTACACCCCAGGCAGCTAAGACTAAAACAGTCTTCAAACTTCAAATTAGACAGAAAGTATGAATTCCTCCAAATTTCAAAATAATGAAAAAATTGCTCATTAATAATAAATTTTAGAAAATTGCCTAATATCACAAAATTAGGTGCTTCAAAATTTGACCTGAGCTTACCTAAGGGGCTGCATAATATTCCAATGGCTTCTCAATCAAGAAAACCTGCCTTCCAACTTAAGAGGATCAACAACAGGAGAAAATCAGAGTTTGCCAGTCGTAAAGCTATGGATAAGATGTTACAAGGGGTTTGAGCTCTGGTTAATTCTCTAGACGCCTATTCAACAACTCTCAGAAAGCAGGACTCGCAAAGATTACTCACTTATGAAGGTAATCTACTGAGTTATACTTCAGAGATCTATTAAGCTGACACAAAACGGACTCCAGAAACGGATGAATCTTAAGCACAGTCTTGCCAATACTTCTAGAGTGAAGCGTATTGAGCAGCTTACCCAAAAAGTTAACAAAATTCTTAATTATAAAATGCCAAGAGGGGTTTTCTCAGATGAAAATAACGGATTTGCTAATGAGAATAAGAATAACTCTCATATGCTTAGTGAGTTCTACCTAAAAACTCCAAAGCAGAGCCAAGATTTTATGCTTCAAAGAAACAATTTATCACCTGTAAGCTTCAAAATAATTCTGCAGCATGGGAATAATAGTATGATAACACCTCTAAAACATTCACAAAGGACTTCAGCATTTGTAAAGAGGCGAGGAAGTTTGATATTCTGAGGTGAAGTTCCTATGAATCCCCAAAAATCTCGTCTTCTAAACATGAGTGAAGCATCACCTATCCACCCAGATGCTTCTAAAGATCTGTAGATACTATGCTGAGCTGGATTTTGACTATAAGAATAATTTACAGAAGTTATTGCTTAATTCAATACAAAAAAATTATCTAGGGGTTTTGGGGTTTTGGGGTTTTGGGGTTTTGGGG